TGCAGAAGCCCTCATGCGTAGGCCTTACACATTTGTTCTTTGCATGCAGACAATCCAACACAAGCTCGCCCATGCATTGGACGAGAAAGCAAACTCCAACACAAGCTCGCCCATGGAAGGGACGAGCGTGTAGGCAACACGTTATAAGCACGCGCTTTGAATGGACGAGCTTATGGTAGTGAAGAATTGAGGAAGTCCTTTTGATGGACGAGCTTGTAGGTAGGCGTATTTTATTATTTCTCTCATATATATGTGTATACGAAAATGTTCAAAACATACTACTAGCAATATTCATAACCACTCTACTATCATTCTTCACCACCAAGAAATTTTCCACATTCAAAAATGTCTCTGAGAAACCTAATTCTTACATGCCACTACAACGGTGTTTTTACAACAAATAGCCCCGACGGTTTTTCGTTCAGCAACACAGATACGTACGCGTTTAAAATTCATATGAATTCTGATTTTTTCCATTTAAAAGATAGAATGGAAAAAAAATTGACACGAAGCGTTTCAGAAATATTTTATCGCCATCCAACACTTATTAAAGACGAGCGTACAATTTTTTACTTAATGACGCCGATCAGAAACGACGAAGATGTGATTGCAATGTTTCGGTGCCACACGATGTTTGATAACTTACATACAATTGAGTTGTATGTCCGACTAATAGACAACCCCGAAACATTTCCAACACAAGAGACACAGTTACACTGCTACGGGTACAGTCAAACATCCGACGACGAACCAACACAAAACAACCTCCCTTTCATACCAAATGAGGAGGTTGGAGAAGCAAGCGACGACGATATTCAGGAGGTCAGGATGCAAGATATTTTTGGTGACAGTGATGACGAAGACAATGAAGATATGGACGTAACGCCGATCCGTGCACAACCAATAAGTTTGTACAACCCGCCTACTCACATGCAAAGGAGATGTGACGAACACGACAATACAAACTCTGTGTTTGAAAATGCTACTCAAAACCATGTAGGTGACGAAATCGAGGTTGGAATGGAGTTCGACGACAAGGATGCTTGTGTATTTGCTCTGCAGCATTGGCACATAACACACAGTGTTGACTATTGGGTGTATAAGTCTGGCAATAAACGGTATGTCATTAAATGTAAGAAACAAGACTGCGGTTTCAAGTGCAGAGCTTCTTTGAGAAAAAGGAGCTCGAAATGGGTGATAGGTAAGTTGTCTGGGGCTCACACATGCAGTTCGACGTCTATGGCACAAGACCATAGGAAGCTCAGTTCAGAAATGGCTAGCCATAGCATCAGGGAACTTGTCAACACCGACACCTCACTCAAGGTAAAAGTGATCATTGCCCATATTCTAGAAAAATACGGGTACATCATATCTTATAGGAAGGCGTGGATCGCTAAGTGCAAGGCGGTAGAGTCGCTTTTTGGAAATTGGGAAACATCTTACAACGACCTACCGCAGTGGTTACTGGTAATGAAAACCTTTCTTCCAGGAACCATTATAGATTTAGAAACACTACCTGTGATATCAAATGAAGGTTACCAACTCTCTGGAAAACGAATATTTCATCGTTTGTTTTGGGCATTTCGTCCGTGTATACGTGGCTTCGCCTACTGTAAGCCCATTGTGCAGGTAGACGGAACTTGGTTGTATGGTAAGTACAGAGGAACTCTATTGATGGCGGTGGCACAAGATGGGAATGCAAATATTTTCCCAATAGCCTTCGCATTGGTCGAAGGTGAAACAAAGGAAGCGTGGAGTTTTTTCCTGAGGAACCTAAGACTACACGTGACACCGCAACCAAATTTGTGTCTAATATCAGATAGACACGAATCGATAAAGAGTGCATACAACAATCCCGAAAACGGATGGCTTCAACCAACATCCTCCCATGTCTACTGCATAAGGCACATCGCTCAAAACTTCATGCGCGAGATCAAGGACAAGGCTCTACGCAAAAAACTTGTTAACATGGGTAAGAAAATAAATTTTTACATTTTTATCTCAAGTTTCGTAGCACACTGTTATCATTTTTTCACACACTTTTTCTTATAGGTTACGCATTAACAGAGGCTACATTTAATTACTATCGCGGAGAAATCAGAAAAACAAACATTGAGGCTTCGAACTGGATAGACAACATTCCTAGGGAGAAGTGGGCCAGAGCATTTGATGGAGGGCAACGTTGGGGACATATGACATCTAACTTGGCAGAGACAATAAACTCTGTACTAAAGGCAACAAGAAACCTTCCCATCACTGCATTAGTCCAGTCTACGTACTATAGAATGGGTTCGCTCTTTGGTAAAAGAGGTCACAAATGGACCAAGATGTTATCTTCAGGGAAAGTGTTTACAGATGGTTGTAACAAAGGCATGGCTGAAGAGGTAGTTAAGGCTAACACACACAACGTCATGCAATTTGATCGCGAAAGATTCTGTTTCATGGTGCAGGAAAAGACTAACTATAACGACGGTCGTCCAACGGGTACTTTCCGTGTTGACTTGCGTAGTCGATTCTGTGACTGTGGAAAGTTTCAGGCATTTCACTTGCCTTGCTCTCACGTGATAGCGGCATGTTCTAGCATACGACAGGACTACACAATTCACATTCCAGAGGTCTTCAAAGTTCTAAGCGTGTTCAAGGTCTACCAGGAGAGCTTCCTGGGACTACCGCACGAGGATAACTGGCCAAAGTATGAAGGTTTTACTCTATGCCACGACGATTCCATGAGAAGAAATAAAAAAGGGCATCCAAATAGTACTAGAATTAGAACTGAGATGGGCGACGCAGAAAAAGAGCAAAGAAGATGTGGTATTTGTAGAGAAATAGGTCATATGCGTAGAAAATGTCCCAACGTTGCCGGTCCGTCAAACAGACCAACTAGATAATTTATTGTACTACTTTTATATGTAATCCTTCAAATATTTTTAATTCAAAACAACTTTAAAATTACAAAAAAACACGCGAACTACAAACATAAATTAGACCCGTGACTCCGCAAACACAAAAAACAAATACCAGAAGATAACATAAACTCTAACAAACAACAACGACCAACACAAAATCTAACAAACTACAGCGACCAACACAAGTGGATCTGTGACTCCTCTGTTTACTTCGCCGCTATGTGCTGAAAACATGCAATGGACATCTTCATCGTTTTCTATACGATCTAGGTAGTACATATACGTCCCCTCCGGGCTAGCATCGGTAAGCGTTATATATGGACAACGATACTCAATCTTCCTCACTGTCACGCGACGACCTCCCAGCTGCCGAAATCCGGTGTTAATTGCTGCAACCAATGTTCTGAAATTCCACAAAGGATCTAGGTTAATACTGATTTTTTTCTCTGGCCCATAGAAAACAAGAGCTTCAACCGACATTTTTATGATTAAGATAAGTGGTCACGAATGATACTTGGTGATGAGCAATACACTTATTTATAAAAAAAAAAATAACGTTTGAGCTCGGTCATTCAGTAACCGAGACTCTGTATTCATTATTTTTTTATTCGTATACAATATAATTATTTAATTATTTATACTCATCTAATTTAGTTATAGAAAACAATAATTTATTTATAACAAATTATTTATACTCATTTAATTCTTAATCAATGACTATTTAATAATTTATTTTTTAAAAAATAATTAACATTATTTTTCTTATTAATTATACTTAAAATTTTATTATTTATTCAAATTAACATTAAAATTTTATTATTTATAAAAATTAACATTAGTAATTTTATTATTTATAAAAATAAACATTAGTAATTTTATTATTTATAATTCATAAATAAATAAATAAAAATTGTATTAAAAAATAAATATACATAAAATTAAGAATTAAAAATAATAAAATTTTATTATTTATTAAAATTTATATTATTATTTTATTATTAATTATAATACATAAATATTAAATGTTTTAATAAATAAATCCAATAATACATAAATATAATTCAGAAAAGAAAAAAAATAAAAAAAAATAACATTACACACGCTCGTCCTTTCAATGGACGAGCTCATGCTGCCTTTAATTTCTCCACTAGCTCGTCCTTCCAATGGGTGAGCATGTAGTGGATAAAACACGTTGGTCCAATGAATAGACGAGCCCGTACAAAAAAGGGGTATGTTGGTAAAAAAATTTCAAAATAGGATATTTTGGTATTTTTTTTTTCAAAATGGGGTACTGGGGTAAAAAAATCCACAAACCAATGTCTCTTTGTTTACAAAAAGATAACAAAGCCTTCATATTTATCAACCTATACTAATAATTAGAGTAATGGTCCTCCTGTCCCACAATAACACAAAAACCTCAACTTTTTTTGTTCTTTTCATGAGGACCATAATAGTTGGTCGTGTATGTGGGCTTAGTTAAAGTTTAATACGATGTGATGCAAAGCAAAAACTCAATTCTCTAACATGGTACGCTTTGCTTTTTTAATAATCTTTTATAATTTTTTCAATAACAAGACACACATTCTAGGAACATTCTTTTCTGGTCAAACCAATAGAACATTCCAACGAGTAAATTTTCTGTGTTTTTGACCAAATAAAGAGAAGAAACAAACTCTCAATAGAAAAATCAAACTATCCCTCTTATGTCTTTTTTACTTCATAAAAAACGCGTGGCTTCCACGCACATGATTATGTAACATTCACGTCAAAACTATACTTCCCTAAAAACAAAAATAATAAAAATAATAGCAACTTTACGTAATCCATTTTTGAATTAAAAATTGAAAATCTCGAAAATTGTAACTTACCTCTATTTCATTCCAAATCCAAATCTTTTCGTAACACTACAAATACATTCCATAACTCTTTCTTTCCTCTGCAATTCCAATGTTATCTTCGTAACAAAACAAAAACATTCGTTATTAACAACAACCTTAACCTTCTTCACTTCATACTACTAATACATATACTTAATTGTGTAATTAATCATAATTAGTGACGATAATTAGTTACGACTTAAATTAAACGACGTGAATGGGGGCCGTTTTTGTAATAACGCTGGCGATGCTAACGGCGGCGACGGTTATTTCTGGATCGCCGGTGACTCTTTCGTTGGAAAGAGCGTTTCCGACGAATCATGGAGTGGAGTTGTTTCAGCTCAGAGCGAGAGATTTGTTGAGACATCGGAGAATTTTGCAGTCTTCAAATGGTGTTGTTGATTTCGATGTTCATGGTACCTTCGATCCCTTCCAAGTCGGGTAATTTGATTCAATTCAATTCTCTTCGATTTCACTTTTGGTGGTTTCTGAAGCGATGAAGTTGCATAATTTGTTTAGAATCTTTGCTTTATTCCTTTAATTTATGTTAATGTCATGTTGCTGATTTTTCCCCTTTTGGATGAATTTTGTTTGTTACTATATTCATGATTTTCGATTTGTTTGGTTATTAAAAGTTAATACAAAGATTGCTTGATTTAGTTTAGTTCTCTATGGCTTACAAAATTTCATTCTTCTTTCTATTTTTGGTAACTTGAAGATGGTTTTATTGGGTAATGGTAGGTTAATATGTGGTTTCTAAATTGCTTTCATAATTTCCTCCAAGTTAGTCTTTTTTTAGCACTCATAGTCACAATTTAACAAGTTTATATTTAAGGTATCTTTGGTGTTCAATAAGGCGATACCGTTAGATATTGTTTGATAAAATGGTGAGGGGAAGCAGAGCCGTGTCGAGTGTTTGGAGGTCATGTGTAGGTTAGCAGCAGTTTAACTATGACAACCATGATAAAACAAATAGAGATTCTATTAAACCATGATTTAACCATGACAGTTTTTTTGAGACCTTATTTAGCTACAATTTAATCGTAAATTTTTTAAAAATCTGTATGGTAGTCCGCCTTGCATGCTCTCAAAGACGGCTTTGACGGGAAGTAAACGCGTTGTGCTTATGAAGCTACTGGCTGTAGCTTCTAGTTGAACGTGGCTTTTCACTGGGAAAAGTGTTATATCCAAACACATGCTAAAGCATTTGATGTTCTCAAACTATTAACAATGTCAGCGTGTTCGTGTTGTGTCTAGTTTTTGTCTTAGTCTTTTATTTTTTTCTCCTTTGCATTATATCTTATCTTTGCCAGTGTGTGTTTGATTTAAAATCGATGGATTATTTCAGGCTATATTTTACAAAGGTGCAGTTAGGTACTCCTCCAGTAGAATTTTATGTGCAAATTGATACTGGAAGTGATGTTCTTTGGGTCAGTTGCAGCTCCTGCACTGGTTGTCCACAGACAAGTGGGCTACAGGTAAATTCAATTTTATTTCTTTGTTGATTTAGTATCATAAATTCAATGTAATGGTTTATGGATTATGTTACAGATTGAGCTCAATTTTTTCAACGCCGGGCGCTCCTCAACATCGTCATTAATCTCGTGTTCTGACCGAAGGTGCAACAGTGGAATACAGTCATCAGACGCGACCTGTTCCAGTCAGAACAACCAGTGTTCTTACACTTTCCAGTATGGAGATGGTAGTGGAACATCAGGCTATTATGTGTCAGATACGATGCATTTGGATACTATTTTCGAGGGATCTGTGGCTACAAATTCTTCAGCTCCTGTAGTTTTTGGGTGAGAGTTCATGAGCATGAAATGGTTGATACTTGATAAAATTTCTCTCTTTTCGTCTGTGTTTATGGGGTTAATCTAATATCGGAAATCGTTACTTTGTGAATTGAGCAGTTGTAGTAACCAGCAGAGTGGAGACTTGACAAAGTCCGACAGAGCAGTTGACGGTATATTTGGATTCGGGCAACAGGAAATGTCTGTGATCTCCCAGCTCTCCTCACAAGGGATTGCTCCAAGAGTATTCTCACATTGTCTTAGAGGAGATAGCACTGGTGGAGGAGTTTTGGTTCTTGGTGAGATTGTGGAGCCTAACATAGTTTATACTCCACTTGTTCCATCCCAGTAAGTTCTTTCATCAGAAATAAAATTGCTAGAACTTAACATCTTTCATCAATTAAACATTTTTTGTTATGTTCCTAACATAGTCAAACTCTTTGTAAGAATGTCCATCTAAAAAGTGTGTATCTAACATATTTCAGGCCTCACTACAACTTAAATCTACAGAGCATCTCTGTCAACGGCCAGGCGTTGCAAATCGATGCATCGGTTTTTGCTACATCAAACAACAACAGAGGCACCATTGTTGATTCTGGAACAACTTTGGCATACCTTGCAGAAGAGGCTTATGATCCCTTTGTCAATGCAGTGAGTTTCTTTTAACTAGTTTCACGCTCTTCAATTTATCAATAACATTATGTTTTCTTTAAAGCTTCATGTATTACTTAGCAATCACGACATGCTTTTTGCTGGATGAAGGTTTTATCAAACATTGATGGTGAAATGATTTTTTTTTTACTTGTGCAGATTACAGCTACAATACCACAATCAGTACGCACTGTTGTTTCTAGGGGAAATCAGTGTTTCTTAATTACTAGCAGGTTAGGCTGAGACACTGAGCACTTCATACATCTTTTTCTAGATTTATTATTGCCGCTCGTTCACTTTTGCTGATGATGTGTGCTATAAAATAGATCATTCTTATTCCTTTTTTCTCTAACTCCTTTCTTATTACTGTCCTTAGTGTGGCTGATATTTTTCCTCAAGTAAGTCTGAACTTTGCTGGTGGTGCATCGATGGTTTTAAGACCACAGGACTACCTTATACAGCAAACTTCTGTTGTAAGTATTCAAGATTCAATCCCTTTTTCTATTCATTTTCTAAGGACTGGTTTGAATTTTATGATCTATTAATATGATTTTGACAATTGTAATCTATAAATCTGATTTTGATTTTACTGTATTTCTAAAGCTGTCTAGTTTACCTTTCTGTAAGATGTTTTACATGATAACTTAATTTACTAAACAAGTCATTTATTAAGGCAAATGATACTGCTGATATTATTCTCGATTACAACCAGCTAAATTTACAATTCCAATATGATCGATAACATCCTTTTGCTCTCTGTTGATTTTGGTGCTTTATCAAGAAATACAAACAAAGAAAGACAACTTTTCTTGCAATTCCCATTACATGCCATTTTCCAACTGAAAACTGGTACATTTTAGTGTAGAGAAAGATTTAAGACATGTCTCAAATTTCATAGAAAATTCTTGGATATTATTGACAGCTTCACTTTATGCTTCACTTTGTTCAATATTTTTATATACCATATGACATCTCACTAAATTCTCTGGTGAAACTATTAATGTTGCAGAGTGGTGCAGCAGTGTGGTGCATTGGCTTTCAGAAAATCCAGGGTCAAGGGGTGACAATTCTAGGAGGTACAAAACCACTTTAAACACTCTAGGTTAAATATTCACCTTTTTGTTTTCTGATATTTGGATTTGATTGAATGTCAACAAAAAAAAATTAGATCAATAACTAATATTTTGAAAGAAAATTGTTATATAAATTTGATGTTATTTTATGACCACTTGTAGACTTATAACCTATCATAATATCAATTTAAATTTTAATGTCTCACTTTTTGTTAGGTTATTGTCATAATCCATTATGTATATTTTCTTCAAGAGTATTATACTATTTATTTACATCACTTCTTTATGTTTTGACAGATCTCGTATTAAAAGACAAAATTATTGTTTATGATCTAGCCGGTCAACGTATTGGATGGGCTAACTATGACTGTAAGTTTCAGTTACACTATCAGAAAGACATATAGTAAATTTCACGACGTAAATAAACTCTGTTTATCCTCGACATTACATTAGATTCTAATCATGTTGATTTTAAATTTAACAATGCAGGTTCTTTGTCGGTTAACGTCTCTGCAGCAACTGGCACTGGCAGAAGTGAATATGTGAATGCTGGAGAGATAAGTGGGAGCAATTCTTTACATGATAAGTATTCAAAGACAGTATTCTTGTCTCTCTTCGTAGCATTGATTTGCTGCTTTGTGTTTTTATAGCAGTGATTTATGCATTGTGGAATATAGATCTAATATTCTTTTTCCTATGTAAATTCTATTTCCACTGTATATTTGTGATAGTTGGAGAGACCACATATTACTTTTAATATTGTTTGTATTGTGTTTCTTTTTTGCACAATAGGTTTTTCAGGTTCAGGTTTAGATGATTCTGTAGGACACTATCAGTGTAGATTCTAATCATTACTTCTCTGTTATTCTTTTGGCTGTTTTGTAAATTACTTCACAAGATTACTGATTGAATCACTTACACAAATTAATATAATATAGTTTTTTTTTATATCTCCTAGTTCAGTGAAAGTTTGTATTCTGGTGCATATAATCATTGTTATAAATTGGCATTGCATATTGAATTTGGATTCGCTGCAGTAATAATACCATGCAGTAACACATTATAATCAATCTCAGTCATCGATTTGAGATCAAACAGCTTAGATTAAACGATCCAGGTAACTGTTTAAGCAGTTATTGCTGGGAACCTGATCTCATACATATGGTCTAGATAAAGCTGAAATGATAATTTTGTTGGGTACTATATAAACCAATGAAAAGCAGCACATGGAGTTCTTTTTGAAGTAATGTGTAAGCCACACACATAGGAGTATTAAATAGATTCAACATTTTTCTTCTTGTGGTGTGTGGTTTATGCTGTTTTCTTCTTGTGGTGTATGTGGTTTATGCTGTTTTCGAAGTTGACAACGCTTAAATGGAAGTGCTTTTATTCTCAAGTAGAATAGCTGTTTTCAGTATCATTTGGCTTTGAGCTATACTTTTCTTATTGCCCCCTATCTCTGGAATCAAATAATATAGAGAAAAAATATGCATGTAGAGGTGGATTTGGAATTAAGATCTTTTGCTACACAACTTGACAAAAATACTTAATACAGTAAAGAAAAATTAAGTTTTTAGTTTCAAATATGCACCTTAACTCCAACATGATAGGATTGGGTGCCTTTCGTGTTTCGTAACTTTGGTGTACGTAAAAAACGACTAAATAAAAGAGACAGCAGATGATTCCACGGCTAACTAAAGAACAGTGGGAGTAAAAAAAACTTCTGTGATCTATTGTTGACATAAAAGTGATACCTTCTCCATTAACCATATTATGAAGAGATTATTACAAAAAGAGATGCATCCTCATGAATGATCTTCAAGCCAAGAGCAACACTATGATAATTCTAAAATTGTGCATGCTTTTATTTAAATGAATTTCAGCTTATCCTCACACAGCTTCCTTGGGTTACAATTTTCCTCCCCCACAAGGTAGTTGCTCCATAAAACACACCATTGAAAACAGAAAAATCTCATCTAACCTTGTTTATCACATTGCAAAATTTCTGAAATGCAGAACAACAGTGTAGTCTTGCACCTACACAGATAAAGTGTTTTCAGCTTATTTCTATAAGTTCTATAAAAATAACTTATAGCTTATATATAAACAGTTTAACGGTCTTACCTCATTACGAATCTAGAAGAAGTGATGTGCAAGAAAGAAGGGAAGAAACTTCATCTTCTGTTGCCATCCCAAAGCCCTGCCATCTTATCCTACCAAAATTATCTAGTAGGAAGACATACCTGTGAATTTAATGTTAGAAAATGTACTACACACAATGAACTTGGGTAAAATAATGAGATGTAAAAGCTTTTCTACCCAGTGAGGAGATTCTCTAAGTTTAGTTCTTTTCTGAAATAATAGTGGTCGCCAAATGAATACACCATTTTCGCTTCAAGTGTATCCTTGTTTTCATTGTGATTAGGTTTCTTGATTGTCCACATAAGGAAATTTTTTATAGGAGGTAGACATAAAAACCATGAATCTATAAATGATACCTGATACACAATGCAAAAGCTTCGTTATAAACTTGTAGCTAATCGATCATTCAAAAGGCGAAAATAGAAAGAAAACTGAGAATTATAGGTTTTACATTTTCGACAGAATAAAAGTTGAATTAAATAGAAAGATAGAATGAGTTTTCATTTTATTAAATAAATAAGTGATTAATATTTCGCACTCAATGAAGAGAAAATGCATAAAATCTGAACAAAATATTATTACCTTATATAAATGAGTATCTTTCGAGTTACTGAATGTTTTAGCAAAAGGCACGCTCCAAGAATCAATCATTTTCTGTCAACAGTAAATCAAAACCAACACAAATAATTGTTAATGAAATACCAAACATCACAAGGAACAACATAGTACAATTCCTTTATCACTTTTAAGCCACGATTAATTACCTCGGAATATCCTCGGAATGAAAGACAAACCAAAGATGCCTTTGGAACAGATGATTCGTCGGAATCAACTGCCTTATCAGAAATACGAATTGGAAGCTTCATTATTTTACCATCTGGGAAGCTGACTTGGATATCAGGAAATTTCATAGCCATCATTGCCGGTATAATCACTTTATTAGCTACAGAAACCTGCAGGACACAAATACCGATAAATATAGCATACTCTTATTTGGTACACCTAAGACGCACTTCCATTCTAACCAACCCATCACTGCCACTTGCTAATTAGACGTAGATGAGCATGAATTGATCAAAATAAAATCAAAATAATATACAACTAACTATTGCCCAGCAGGATTCTCATGGTTTTGATAGGCTTTGTAAAGCTTTATACGGTCTCAAGCAAAGTTCAAGAACAGGATTTGGTAAATTCAGTTCAGGACTTTTGGCATGGTCTACAGCAAAGGCAATCATTCAGTGTTTTATAGACATTCTTCTACTAACCACTGTATTTTTCTTGTTTGTGTGGATGGCATTGTGATAACAGGAGATGATCATATTGGTATTCAAGAGTTCAAGAGGCATTTGTTTCGGCACTTCCAAACCACAGACTTGGGCCAGCTAAAATATTTCTTTGGAATTGAAATAGCTCAGTTAAAAAGAGGTGTTGCCATCTCTCAGAGGAAGTATGCACTTGATATTTTGGAGGAGACTGATATGTTAGATTGTAAGCCCATTGACTCGCTCGAGGTAGTTAAAGTCAAGATTTTACGCAAAATCGGAAAGGAAAGTAAAATCGTAACACTAATCGTAAGATGATCCTGTTTTCAACCCGGCCATTAAAATTGTTTCAGAATTTGACCGGATTTTCTGGAGGCTGAAGGCTGTGTGTGTAACGGCTAGGGTTTTGGGACTTGTTGTGCTTTACAATTTACATGTGAATTTAAGAACTCGAAACGTAAAAGCTGTGAAACCTTGAAAATTGAGAATTCTAAATCGTTTAGCCATACTATGAATCAATTCCTTTCCTTCATCTATCTTTTTAATAAATTCATATCAAATTTTTTGTTTCTTCTCATTTTTTTCTATCTCTATACTGCAATTCCTCTTTCTTCCTCACAAAACAGAGTTTCTAAATTTGTTTCACTATGTCTTCACAATTTCTATAATTGTCTACTTGTTGGGATTTTACTATCCGTGTTACGATCCTACGACTTACGCTTTTTCTATACCCTAACAATCTTTATCGACATCCCAATTTTGACAACCAATTTTAAGATTTGATTTAATTAAGTTCTTGTCCCAAAATCAAGGGAATTGGTTGTCCCTACTTATTAGTATAAAGAAACACATTGAGGGTTAATCTCTCAAGCAATTCAAATCAATCATTGCTCCAATTTCAAGTATAATGTGCATGAGTTGATCAAAATAAAATCAAAATGAAAGTTATATACAACTAACAGTTTTGAGACTAACTTATCACTCTAAACATGCTTTAACCGACCAATTGGCAAAATTTCTGCTGAATCTAACCAATTAGGGGTTTTGAGAGTATGCTTTAGCTTTATATAAGTCATGATGTCAACTTCATTGGAACATGTAAACCCAAACTAATTGTAAAAACCATCTTGATCCCTCGGTAGTATGGAACATTCCACATTATGACATTCTTCTAAAACAAATTATCTGTTTGAAGTTTGAACTGATTTATTTAAACTAATCTACTAGTGTAGATGTGTTGGTGTATGTGCTTTGAAGAACCAAACAGATTATATAAAACAACAATACCTTACCGCCATGTTGCTTGATCTCAGCCAAATCAGCAACATATCCCCTTTTCATTTCATCATTTCTGCACAAAACCCCATCAACATATAACTAAATCAACACTACACTTCATCAAATTACATGACAACAACTCAACAAAAACAAATAAACTCACATTCGAGCTCGCTCCTTTGCAATTGCTTCCTTATTGCTAAACTGCAAACCTATCACCAATCTCTTGTTAAAAAAAACCAAAACTTCAATATAAAAAACTTAAAAATCCAATTTTTGGGAAATTTTGTTGTACCCATCAAAAGAAAAGCGTATGAGATAGTGAGAAGAGGACCTGGGGCCAATCGAGGAAGCGTTTGGGGGTGAGGCGAGCCAAATGATGAGAAGGGAGTGAATGATGGAAATTATCAGGTTGCGCGGTGGAAATGGAAGCCAAAATCGAATCTCTGAGATTGGAACGTCGTCGTATCAGTTGCTTCAAACCTTGCATTTTGAGTAGCTTGATTTCGATGCGAATAACTTCGTCTTCTTCCTTTACACTGTGTTTGTAACTAGCATAACTCCATGTCTAGGTCAGGAACCTATTTTAAAATTATTTGATATTTTTGAATGAAAATTACAAATGAGTCCACAAAGTATCCTTTTAACTTTTATTATTATTTATAATTTTATTTAAATTTAATTTAAGTTTAAATTATATGTGTAAATAAAAATTATAATATACACACTTATCAGTTCATATTTGATTTTGTAATGCGCAAGACAGAATAAAATATATTTTTATAAATTGCAAAAAAGTAGGTCAACCCAAACATATAAAAATGTAAATATTAAATATAAATGTATACACATCTTAATTTTTAACTCTCCTCTATGTGTATATATTTCATTGTGAAGTTCCTCTAAAATAATTCTTTATTTCGTACACTTGTTCATTTAAATTTCTTTAAACGCAAACTAGTGATAAATTGAAGATGTCAGAAACTGATATTTTAGATATATAATACATATATTTAATGTTAGACGAAAGGTTAGGTCGAAAGTTAAAGCTAATGTTTATCTCATATTAAATCAGCACCACTTCTAAATTTAGGAGAAAGCGAAGTTCTAAAAAAAAAAAAAGAATTGAAGTTATTGTAAGTTCAAAGGTCTTTTCGAACGAGGTTGTTGTTAGTCGTAGGTAATTTGATATATTGGTTTTGGGTGCAGGTGGTGATGAATCCTTCTTCTGCTCATAGTGTAAGAAAAACCAAAGTATAATGTAATTATATACACGGAGTCAACACCTCTACAAATAAAGAATTAAGTAAAATAATCGGTTGAATGTGGTCTAGGTAAAAAGAAGTATTCATATTTCTGCTTTGTGCCGGAAGTCTTTAAGACTTTCTTGATGTGAAGTAGTGAATATAATAAAGTTCAACAGTTCAGCGGGATGAGTTAATCTGCAATGACGAATATTTTGCATATTCTTAAAAATAAAAAAGATAAATAGTCATATATAAAGGATAAATATAACTTATAGTTAAGGGTTACAAAATGAAATGTATTTTATATTATTTCTGAAACAACTATAAGAACAATAAAGTTAATGATGAACTAAGATTTTTTGGAAAACATTTTGTAAAATTATGTATTTATTGTACTAAAAAAATAAATTTTTAGAGTTCAAATGAAGGTTTGTAAAAATATTTTTAAAAAAAATCAAATTGAAATCAAGAACAAAATTATAAATCATAAGTTAAAATATTTAAAAAAAGAAATTTAATATGTTTGTCTAAATGATGCTGAAACATATGCAAATTATTGAATTGTAAAAGTAATATGTGAAAAAATATTTCAAAAGAAAAAAAAAATGATAAGAAACCAATACACTTACACATATTTAAAAAAAAAATTGTCATGTATGTAACATTGGCATTTTCTTTACAATAATCAAAAGTAGTTGAAGTTAAATTTCAATCAGAAATTTTGAGAAATTGTTACTAAAGACTTATAGTGATTTCTATTATTCTCTTTCTCCACCATTTTTACCTTGTCTTCTTCATCCAACCTTTGCATCTCTCATTGATTTCCTCATTTCTTTTTTATAGATATGTAATATAGTAGTTTATAATAACCATATTTTTAATTGGCTTATATGGAAAAAGGCAAGTTGATTGTTTTTGTTGGTCTTATCGAAGGGAAGTTGAATACTTTTGTTAGTAACTGATTATGAGATATTGGATCGAACTCTAGTATGGTCAAAGTCGGTTCGCGAGTAATGCGTGTTGTAGTCGAAGTTTGTTCTAACATGCATTAGTCAACATTGCTAGGTTTGTTAGCAAGATGAATTGGGTCTTGCTTGTAAGCTCAATTGTTTAAGTTAACTTGTACCCTAAGTTAGCATGTAATGGATAGTTGTTAAAAAGTCTATTAGGTCAGTGTGATATTTCTCTTATAAATAGCATGCTAGTCTCTCATTTTGGTATAAGAAAAATAGGAAGATAAAATCCTAATTTCAAGTGAGAGGGGTTATTTTGTTATTCTTGTATACTTGTAATCTTGCTCTAAGAGTACGGAAAAATAGCAGTTTATAACCAATTCTAGTTGTTTCTTGTTGTTTTACCTTGTTTTCTTTGTTAACTCTAACCTTCGTGTGTTTCTTGATCATAAAGAAACCGTTTATAGTTTGTTTCAAGACATCCGACTCACAATAAATTGGTGCAGTGAGCATGGAGAGGATGACTTCAACAGAGTGTGAGATTGAAAAGTTCACCGGAGTGAATGACTTCAGTCTGTGGCACTTGAAGATTAAAACCCTACTGGTTCAGCAAGATTGTTTGGAAGCGTTGAAGTGAGAGGTAGCCATGGACGTTGCGTTAATGGCAAAAGAAAAGACGGTCATGATTGAGAAAGCCCACAACACAGTATTATTGAGCTTTGGTGATAAGGTTCTTCGATAGGTATCAAAGGAGACTACAACATCGGGATTATGGGTGAAACTTGAAATTTTGTACATGGACAAATCTCTGGTGAATCGACTCTACCTGAAGCAAGCTTTGTATTCATTCAAGATGAATGAAGACAAATTGTTGGCTGAGTAATTAGATATGTTCAACAAGCTGATTCTTGATCTTGAAAATATTAATGTGAAGATCGATGATGAAGAACAAGCATTGTTGTTGTTGTGTGCTTTGCCAAGAATACATGCTCACTTCAAAGAAACTTTATTGTATGGAAGGGAGTCTCCGAGCTTTGAAGAAGTTAAATCAGTCTTGTATTCTAAGGACTTGAACGAATGAAAGGAGCATAAATCTTCGACGATGGGCGAAGGTTTGGTCGTTAAGGGAAAGCTCTTGCGAAAGGATGGTAAGTTCGACAAGAAGAAAGGTAAAAGTCAGCATAAGTCTTATAATGGCGAAACATCTAGTATTTGATGTTATCACTGTAAGAAGGATGACCACACAAGAAAGGTATGTCATGAACGCCTGAAAGATCATGGAGGTAATGGCAATTAATCCATTGTTCAAGATGACTTCGACTCATTTTATGCTCTTGTGGTTTCAAGTGGCGACTCAAGAAAAGAGTGGATTATGGATTCAGGTTGCACTTGACACATGACTCCAAACAGAGAATTGTTCGAGGGGCTATGTGATCAACATGATGGATCAGTGTTGCTGGGAAACAACAAATCTTGCAAAATTACAGGTATTTGATCTGTAAGATTCAAGCTCCATGATGAGTCAAAAAGGTTATTGACTGAAGTCAGGTATGTACTTGACTTGAAGAGAAATTTGATTTTTCTTGGTGAATTCGACAGAATGGGATACATTTTTCAAGGAGAGAAAAGTATCCTAAAAGTCATGAAATGGGTCGAAGGAAGTCTTGAGAGGCGTGAGGAAATAAGGCTTGTATACCCTTGAGGCTGAGGTTGTAAGTGGTTCAACAAATGTTGCATCCGCGAAACCTGTGTCGAAGACAGAATCATGGCACATGAGATAGGGCCATGTCAGTGAAAGAGGCCTGGTCAAATTGGGGAAGCAGAACCTACTAGGAGGTGACAAAGTCGAAAAGTTGGAGTTTTGTGAATCTTATGTATCTAGTAAATCCTGTAGAGCGAAGTTAAACAAAGGCAAGCAAATAACACATGTATCCCTGGATTACATTCACACTGATCTTTGGGGGCCTGCAAGGAACCCTTCACACTCAGGTGCAAAGTATTTTTTATCTAACGTTGATGACTATTTCAGAAATCTATGGGTATTCATCCAGAAGACGAAGGATGAAACTTTTGAGAATTTCAAAAGTTGGAAGGTTCTAATCGAAACTCAAACTAGCAGAAAGGTTAAGTGGTTGAGAATCAACAATGGCCTTGAGTTTTACAACAAAGCGTTTGACAATTACTATATTGAGTCTGAGATTGCAAGGCATAAGATTGTAGCAGGTACTCCTCAACAAAAATGGTTTAGCTGAGAGTTTAAATTGAACAATCCTTGTAAGGGTTAGATGCATGTTGGTTAGTGCTGGATTGGAGAAGATGTTTTAGGCGGAGGCTGTTTCGACAGCAGCTTATCTGATAAATAGATGTCTCTAGACTGCCTTGGGAATGAAGACACCTGAAGAAGTTTGGTCGAGACATCCACTTTGTCTCGATAGACTGGGAGTATTTGGTTGTGTGACCTATGCTCATATTAGGCAAAATAAGGTCGAGCCTAGAGCTCTAAAATGCATGTTCATGGGATACTTTGAATGAGTCAAAGCTTATAGGATATGGTGCCTAGGGCCAGGTCACAGGAGGTGTATCACCAGACGAGATGTAGTTTTCAATGAAGCAAAGATAGATTTCAAGAAAACTGATGATGCTGATGAAGAGTTGGAACAGGGAGATAATCATGTTGAGGTGGAGCATGTTGATGTTGAATTGCGTATCCCAAATGAAGTCGAAGAAGACACAAAAGATGTTGTCGAATATGAGGAGACTGATAATGACTACCTGCTAGCAAGAGACAGGTCGAAGAGAGTCATCAAGCCACCTCAGAGACTTGGGTATGAAGGCTTATAACTTATGCCTTAATCTCTACAAGTGAGGTTCTAGACGAAGAACCTAGAGACTATAAGGAAGTTATGAGGAGTCGAAAGAAGACTGAATGGCTAAAGGCCATGGATGATGAGATGAAATCTCTTCATGATAACAACACCTGGGAACTGATCAAGAAACATGTTAAAGCCAGGTTAGTCATCTATAAATGAATTTTCAAAGTTAAGGAAGGAATCGAATGAGTGTCACCGAAGAGGTACAAGGCAATATTGGTCTCTAGGGGGTTCACTCAAAAATAAGGTGTTGACTTCAATTATGTGTTCTGTCATGTTGTGAAGTACATATCCATTCGAATGTTGCTTGCCACGGTGGCCTAGTTCGACCTTGAACTGTAATAGATGGATGTGAAGACTGCATTCTTGTATGGTGATCTAGATGAAACAATCCATATGAGGCAACCTGAAGGGTATGTC